TGAGCTCAATCAATACTCACAACGCAAAAAAGCGGCCTGACCCAGTTTTCGCAACATAGTCCTATCGTCAAAGCAACCTACACAAACACATCTTGCACAAAATCGTCTTACCAAACAGTAATGATAATTCCCATATATGAGTTGTTGATTTTTCCCACAATGATGTGAGTAATGCTGGTGTTTCCCTTGAATTCCACATAGCCTTGCTTTATCAAAAAGTGTTCTCATCCAGGATGAAATGGACTGCAGCCTAGACCTCGCATAGGTCTTATCGACAACCCCAGCAAGAGTCGAACTATGACAGTCCAATATGTAAGCTCGACAAGTTAGCCACTACGCCACATTGCCCCGAGTGCCCTTGGGTCACAGGGCAGATATGAATTTCAAGGAGTTTCAGGCATTTTCGACATCACATTCTGTGTATGGATTGTCGATGAAGCAAACTTATATTTGCTATAGCAGCAATCGACGACATTAATTTTTTCGACTCCCGCTTGAGGTCGAAACTGCAGTCCACCCAAGCCGGGATGAAAACACATTTTGGGAAAGCAAGGCTATGTGAAATTCAATGGAAAGCATCAGCTCTACTCATAACATTGCGGGAAAAATCAGCTACCTTAAACGAAATAGGGTGAACATAACTCATAGATCTGATTTAATGGTAATCTCGAAAACCTACTCACTTACGAAAAAATGATAACTCCCAACATCGTCCTCTTTCAGTCTGCTTGACAGAATGGCATCGTCGACTGATTACACTGGTTTTCATGAGTCTTTCATTTCGATGAAGCAGAACCACACAAAGTGTGGGAGGAAAGGTAGATCTTCCACTAACTGGCATCAAAATATCATCTGCGAAGAAAAATTCCAGTTCAAGAGCCTCTTGGCCACACTTTATATTTCTAATGAAATGCACATATTTATGGCATATATATGTATATGTAAAGCAGTGAGCTTGAATGGGGTTGCATGAATGATAGTATTATCTGAGATGTTCAAGTATAGCCATCCGACAGCTGGGCAAGAGGAATCCTCCGTTGAGGTTTCATCACATACATACATACACACACTCACCTTCCCTCGAAACGGAAGTGAACTCAACAATTGGAAATCGTGTTTCCTGCCTTGACGTAAACCGGTTCTGGGTGAGGCCTTGTTGGACGTCGGGCCTCTCTTTCCAGCCGCCCAAGTCACGGTCAAGTGAGTCTTGCACAAAAAATGAAAGTAATGCTCAAATGACGTCGATGGGGACTCGGTGACTGAGCGCCTGCCGCCGGTGAAGCGAAAGGCACTGTCTTTCGCCAATTCGGAGATATCATCTCGACGAAGAGACCTCGCAAGTCCGGTGAATGACCCCTCTAATCGGGCCCCCTAAACCACATCTTCCCTCCCGCAGGCCAGACTTACCCCCCCGACACACCCGCCCCCCTCGACGGGGTACGCGACCTGCAGCAGACGCGCAAGTGGCGCCCGACGACACAGTCGACCTGTAGCCCAGCCTTCACTTGGCTCTCCGCTCTCACCTCACACACCCAAACACTCCCAACCTGGAACTCAAGCCGCTCGGACACGTCGGCTGGGCTCGACTACGCATGTGCCCGCCTCGGGCGCCGGAGCCAAGATTAGCCGGCCTCAGATCATACTAACAGCGGGCCTACCAACTGGGCCGTTCATTAAAAGACTCTCTTAGTACAAATCGAACCACTCACAATTCACACTCTTTCATGAGGCAGAGAGATAATGAGACATTTTGCACAAGAGCACATTACATTTCTTATTCAGGGTCCACATAGTGCACCGCGTCTACTAAAAGCACAAAACGAAAATTGTGCGAATGGAGCACGTAGACGGTTCGAGTCCTGCTGAGGGTGCTGATGAGGGGAAGTTGGAAAAGAGGGGCTCAATCCTTCTCTGCCCTTCGTCTTAAACAGATTCGCCCTAAAACCCAGCAACACTCTTTCCTCGGTAACAATCAACATCCTGGTGGCCCCAAAGGCTTCGTCAATCGCGCCCAAATAGCTTCATGTTGTTGTGGCCGTCAGTTCGAGTGAAACAGCGAATGGAAAGGATTCATAAATTCGCCTCACCGAAGCCGTGATCACGGATTCGGGCGTCAGTCCACGGCTCACAAAGCCACAGTTGCAACAGCTTCAAGACCCTCCTGCTTCTGTTTTCGGTGATGCCAAGGCTTCGATACCTTATAGGCGGGTCTACGCGTTTCACCGAGACGCGGGTCGATCCTGAACCCTCCAGATAATAATGCCCTTTCTAGGTGGACTTTTGTCAGGGTTAAAAGGCAAGTATTTCGAAGATCTTCAAGCGACTAGTTGAAGCATTTCCAGAGACGAAAGAGACGGCAGAGTCAATCCTGACCGAGGCCAGTACAATTTGTGGGTCTTTGCAAAACATTACACCATCCATCATTCTCTTCGTCCCCGTCAAGCTGATGGAGGGATTATTTGATTGATTGATTGGTTGATTAGTTGACTCTACAACGTAGTATATGTATGTGTATTGCTTTGGAGAAATGCCTTTATTTTGATATTCTGCTCCTGAAAACGCATATTCACTCGATAATTTCGACGATCATCCTCCCTGCTATTAAAAAGGAGAGGACTAGATAACTTTTATTGTTGTCCCGACTTCAGCTCTAGCATCTGTTTTATTCCGACAATTTCCTCTGACTCTTTTTTCTTCGACTATGCCTTAACTGGCCTGTCTGCTAAATACACGTGTGCGTGTTTCCCCACAT